AAGGACATACAATTGCATGATCTAAACTCAATTCATAAAGCCAATTTGACAAACACTACACATAGCACCTCTAGTACCCCGACAACGCCTATGAAGTCCAAGCTTTCTTTGATTTGGCTTCATTCTCATGCCATTCAGATTAATTTTTCTCAGTGTCTAGTAAAATAACATCACCATCCATAGTCACTGACTGCCTGGTAGATGCCAGGCACTAGTCTAACGCAACTTTTGAGATTTACTCAGCAATCCTCGCAGTAATCTCGTAAGGGAGGTAGTATTCACTTTACATAATGAAAATATCTTGCCCAGACTAATAAGCAGAGGACTCAATATGAAAACCTACATCCTATGTTCCAACCTTTATATTGTTGCTTTTACTGAAGCCTGTTTCGGCTAGGCTTACACTGGAAATGCAAAGCATACTTGGCAAACAAGGTGCATATTCTCATAGGACCCACATTTTAGTAGGTGAGCAGAATGAAAAAATAAACAAAAAAAAGAAAAAGTTTGCCACAGACTATTTTAAAAGACCAGGAAGAAAAAGACATTATAGAAAATAAGAAAGGGAGATGATGAAAGAAGGCCTCCCTAAGAAACGACTTTTCAGGTGAGATCTGAACAATGAGGAAGGAGCCACACCACCTCAGCAACAGTAAGAGATATACCAGAAGGCTCCTGTGTTTACTAGGTTATGACAAGTCCAAATATGGTGTTAGGCTGAACATCATACTAAAACTGAAGTCCTATTACCAAATCTCTATTATTTGATATTGTCCTTGTTTGTTTGGTTGTTTGTTTGTTTGTTTGTTTATTTATTTATTTATTTTGCCAACTTGCCACAAGCTAGAAGTATCTGGAAAGAAAATTCAATTGAAAAACTGTCTCTATCTGCTGAGCTTGTAGTCAATCAAGCCTGTACAGTATATTATTAATTAATGACTAATGTGGGAGGCCCAGTCTACCATGGGTGGGGCTGTCACTGGGAAGGTGGTACTGGGATGCATAAGAAAGCAGACTGAGCAAGCCACAGGAAACAAACTAGTAAGAAGTGTTCAAAGTCTCTGCGTTAGTCCCTGTCTTACTCCTTCTCATGATTGACTTTAAGCTAGCTATAAGGTAAAATATATCCTTTTCTCCTTAGTCACTTTTGATCAGTGTCTTTATCACAGCAATGAAAGTAAACTAAAATAGACAGGTTATAGGATGGTATAAGATGGTCCTTATAAGGAAAAAGACAATATACCTTGTCATTCTCTCTTGCTCTCTCCTTCTCCCATCACTCCCTACACCTCCTTACATTCCCAAAATGCACACAAATGCTATCAGCAAGCCAGGGAGAGATGCCTGACAGCACCTTTATCTTGGAGTTCTAACATTCGAAACTGTGAGGGAAAAGTTTCTCTTGTTTAAGCCACTCAATTTTATTTTTGTGGCAGACCAAGCAAACTAATTTGGGTGGAAAGGACCTAGGTCTTCTGTAGGAACTAACAAAAACAGTTTTATAGAATATAAGCAGGACTAGAGATAATACATCAGACTTTTAAACCCAAGGGTAGCAAATTATTCTAAAACAAGATGAACAGAAGAAACTGTTCCTGGTAGAGGTTTCAGCTGGTTATTCAATGGATTTGAAATATGCAGTGTGGTCCTTTTTCTTTCAATGACAAGAAGTCATCAACAAATAATTACTTGGGGCTAGCAGTTAGATCTTCTTGAAATGTGCAAACCAACCCCCCAAAACAAGGAACTGAACCCATATAAAAAAGTCTACTGTGCCCTGGTTAAAATATTCACTGTAGAACTCCAAAAAACCTAAGATTTTGTCTTTTGGTATTATTTTAAAGACAGTGTTTTACTGTGATCCCTAGCAAGTCTGGAGCTTGCTATACAGAACAGGCTGAGTTAGACTTCTCAGAAATTCTACTGCTTCTGCCTCCCCTACGTGCTGTCAATCTGCACCGCATGCACTTAGATACCCACAGAGGCCAGAAGAGGGCATCAGCTGTGAGCTAGTAGATGCGGGTGCTTGGAGAACCCTTCTAGAAGAGCATTAAGTGCTATTAACTGTTCAGTCATACCCCTAGCCTGTGAGAAAAAGTTTCCATACTACTAAAGACATTTCTAACCTAATACTGAGAATAGTAAATATGTAATGAGCCTGTGTGTAAAGAACCGTTCTAAACAATTTGAAATGTGCAAATAAACAATCATTAATCCTAGGCCTAAAAGCTGAAACAAGAATAAAATTCCCTATCTCACAAGCTAAGGCGCTATCTATTTATAGGAGGCATTTTATATATCACTAAGGTAGAAACAATAGCAAGTAAATTATGACAACAGTTCAAACCGATCCTGATTCTAGAACTGTTAAAATGTAGGAAAATATCCATCACTGCTTGTTTAAATAGGGTTCACTAAACAGCCTAGGTGTGCCTGGAACTCACAATGTAAACTAGGTTACCTCAAACTGCTGATCCTTCTGCCTCAGTCTTTTAAGTGACAAAATTTTAAGCTTATACTACCATGTTTGGCTTAGAAATACACATTTTTAAACAGCTAAATAATTTGAAAATAAACAAGTGTGAAACACTGAAGTCACTTGAAAAAGTTCATAGAATAGGTAAAATACATCCGGGTTACATCCGCTTTATGTAGAGGATCACACTGAGACTGATTCTGAAGGTTACCTAGAGGTCAGAAATGCAGATACTGAGAAGATGAGTATTTTCAGAAATAGAAATTATAATAACAAATAACAGTAGACTAAAAGATTGATAGAGAGAAATGTTTTCAGAGAAATAGCAAAAGCAGCGAGGGCTAGGAGAGGCTTGAAGGCAGGCAGGTTAGGCTGAAATTAATGCAGAAGTGTGAGGAATGCCCCCCCAAACAACTTTTTTCAACCCAGTAAGTCTTAGAGCTATAATGCAGATAAACTATATAGCTCCAACAGTGATTTGCAACTGTGAGATATCAGAAAGCAGAAGTGATTAATTCTCCTGAGAGTAAGGCTTGAAAATGACCTCCATAAGCCAGGCATGATAGCACATGCCTTTAATCCCAGTGCTCAGAGAGGCAGAGGCAGGCAGACCTCTAAGAGTTCAAGGCCAGCCTGGTCTATAAAGTGAGTCCAGGACAGCCAAAGCAACACAGAGAAACCCTGTCTTGAAACTGTACCCTCCCCCGCAAGCTTCAGTCCTTCCACTCCTCTTCAAGAATCACTGCATTAAGAAAACAAAGTTGGGGCTGGGGAGATGGGTCAGTGGTTAAGAGTACTGTCTCCTCTTCCAACGGACCTGGGTTCAATTCCTAGTACACACATGGCTGCTCACAATTGTCTGTAATGCCAATTTCAAAGAATCTGAAATCTTCACGCTAATGTACATAAAATTAAATAAAAATTACAAATGATAAAAAAAAGAAAACAAAAAGTTTAAGTCACCAATTTATTTAATTTCAGAAAATGGAGCTAAAACTGTAGGAAAATGAAGGGAGAGAAAAGAAGGCAAAGATAATAACTTCAAACAAAAACAAGTGCATTCTAAAATGTCTAAATGATGACGTTTTACAGTGTCATTCCTGTGATGGCTAACTGGCATTCAGGATCACCAAGGATGATGAAGTTTCAGTCTGGACAAAAAGAGATGTGACTATCATTCAGACTGTAAAGCCATTACTTGGATCAAACTCCAGAAAGGACACAAAAGGCGACACCACAATGATAAATATTCTTGGAAGTGACTATGTATGAAATGTTTTATGTTTTGTTATAAGTAATTGCTACCTTAAAATAACTTTATACTGATCCTTATCACTAGTTTTAACGTAATCAACACTGCAAGTCAAGCTTCCTGAGGCTCACAAAGAACACTGTCAACAACAGGAGCACTGTCAAAGCTGCCCATTCCACACATCTACTGCAACCTGAGTACAAACCAGCAGTACACAACTTTCAGCGAAGAACCTGAGAGCAGCTTAGAGGGGTAATTACACAGACATCTAGTGTTTCAATTAGTCACACACCCACAGTCATACAGTTTGAAAGAAGAATAATTACGGCTATATGGCTATATTATAGTATCAACATATTTTAGCCTTAAAAAGAGTTAAGACTAACGTAAAATCAGTTTTATAATTATAAACATTTTCCAAGTATTTTCAAAGCCAATAGGCAAGATTATCCTACATGTGAAAATTTGACTTTTTCCTGTATATTAATATACATTAATTACATAAACAAATTTCTTTATGACATTTTCATAAGAGTACTTCATATAATGTACTTTTTAAAAACTCATACTCTATTTCATTGTCCTCTTTTGCCCCCACCCCTTCCACTGGCTCCCTTCTTCCAAAATAATCTTCCCCCTGAAAGGTATGATTTCAAGTTGCAAATGAAGAAAATGTACAATTTCCTGGTGCTGTAAACACTGGCTTTAATTAAATTCTATTCATTTTAACTGAATATTTTCTGACAAAGTTCCCACAAGAGTAAGGGCTTGAGGAAGGCAGAGAGAAGGAATGGATAAAAGAAGTCAGTAAATGGAGGCAACAGAAGGAGCAGAGACATGACCCTGCAGAACTCACTACCAGCATGAAGTTGGTGAAAATAATGGTGACCCAGAACAACGTCACTGAGCAATTCCATTTTTTCTGAAAGCTAGGCATGACAATGATGCCCAAAGATCATACAGGCTAACTACGTGGATGTAGAGAAGTCACAGACTCTGAGAGGGTTGAGAAGCAGGCCACCTGTTAGATAAAGAGCACACTATCTGCAACCTGTGAGAGGGCCAGCAAGCAAGCCAGACATTAATGCAGCAGCCGAGCAGCCTGGGCAAATGCTATCACTGATGGCTGCTGCTGTTGCATAAGCAAATTTTAAGGAAAACCAAAATACTTTGGAATATTTGGAAAAATCAAATACTTTCCCAAAGTCACAGTCCTACAATAGAAGGTCAAATTTATACACAGCAACATTTTTTAAAAGAAATGTGAAATACCTCAGTCTGACCTTCATGTGCACTGGTTTCATGAGTAACTCGAATAGCCTGTAATAAGAATATAAACTATTTACAAATAAAACAAAACAAAACAATGATATCCAACTTTTAGATGAAATAGTAACAAAGCTCAGTTTTTACCATATAAAATCCTGTAATAAGGCAGGAAACTGGAAGAACTTTAGGAGCAGTTTAGCATTAACCTTTCATAATTATATCTAGGTAAGCAATGAACTGCTGTCCTTTCTATCCACAGATCTCTTAAGCATTAGAAAACTGACCAGCTCATTTTTTTTCTAAGTTGCATAGTACAAGTAGAGGGTCACTTAGCTTCCTTAATCACTAGAGGCAACACTTACCACTTTATTCGCTTGAGACTGGAATAAAGTGAGCATCTCACAGAGAGAGACTGAAGAAGCCTAGCCCATCTGTCTCTCTAAGGTGCATGCTCCTGCAGCTCTGGCTGTATTTATGCTTCATGCATTTCAGTTGGCAATTTAAAAATGTGGTGCAAAAGGCATGCATTTATGAGAAGCTGAAGAATTCAGTTAGCTAAACGTAAAAGTGCTCCAATCATACCCACTATTATAAAAAATGCAGAGAAATGGGCATAATAGAAAATCAGGGGTAAAAGTATAGTTGCTATGTATAGCAATTTGGTGATAAGTAGTAAAGCCTTAAAGACATGCAAACTGATCAGCAATTTTTCTTCAAGGAGTTAATATGTTGATATAGTTAATGTACTTAATTATATGAAATTAAGAGTGGTTCTAAAACCTCAGACACAGTGTTATACATTTGCAATAATTTTTAGTAGTAAAAAAGAGAGGGAAAACTCCTAGATTCCAAACAGCATTTTACTGGTTAAACATACTATACAATGGAAAGCTACTCAGCCATTAGAATAATAATGTTAAATATATACTTACTGATGTTAATACGTTTGTGATAAGTGAAAAAAGCAAGTTATAAAACAGTATTACAGTGTGATCAAAATGTAAAAAATATTGTGTATATACATACATGTTCCCTATAAAAATATCATTGATAGCTATCTTTCACTGGCGGAACTACTGACAACAGTTAGGTTGTTAATTATACTTTTATTCAAAATAAGGATGTTGTATAAAATTTCCAGATTGTTTTTAAAGTTAAAGCAACTAAAATATTTTGGAACACTAAACAGTATAATATATGCACATCATATTGCTTCTAATTTCAAGAACTTATCACTATTGATATTATTAAAAGGTACAAGGCCTTTGAAAGAAAAATGATTTTTAAAAATAATAAATGTTTAAAACAGCTCATTTCAAACTTTATTAGAGGGTCCAGCTATTAATTTGCAAACTATATTTGTTTGTTCATTTTGTCCTGGACACAGAATTGTCAACTGAGCAACATTATAGATATTTCAGGTACAGTTACCTACAAAAATAAATAAATAACAAAAAACTTCTTATAGATATGACAAATGATGTTTCCCCAAACTATGGTTTCAAGACAAACCATTAAGCAGAACCTATAATCCCGTAAAACTGCCCATGGATGAGGTCAGGACAGAAAGAAGGTACTGACATCATAATTCTCCAGGTATTTGGCTCTTTCTTCAGGGCTCATTGACACAGACTCCTCCAGGAATTTTTTCAATGTTGATCCAGATTCTGAGAAAGTAAAAAAAAAAAAAAAAAAATGATCAAAAATTTATGTTTAATTACAGAAAAAAACTAACAGTAAAAAAACTAACAGTAAAAATAGCACAGTCTTTTTAGGTTGAAATCTTTTAACTGGTAAGAATCTAAAACTCTTGAGATAAATAATTAAGTCAAATGTTCTTTTGCTAAGCATATGCATCAACAAAATGAAAAAACGAGAAGGATTAGTATCTCGAGCATACACAGTCCTACAACCACGACTTCATAGCGAGAGTTAGAGTACCCCCTACTGTTCAATGAAGTTAGCACATTTGAAGGGAAAAGCTGAAACAGAAAATGATTTACCAAAGTGCATTTTGTCTTTGTTATTCGCAATGGCATGGATTAGTCCAATCGTCCCACAGGCATTGCTGATAGTTTGCTTCATAAAATATACTGATGATGTAACATCTTGTCCTTGAGATTTTATTTTTTCTTCCTCTTCTGTTCTGAACACTTCATACTATTAAGACAAAAAGTCAATAGTCCATACGCAAAAACCACATACTAAAAAAAACACTCAAGTTTGTAAAAGAAAGGGTATGAACCGCTGAGATTTAGATTAACATAAGAAAAGATTTAAAGGTATAATCTACCAGGCTGACAGAAGAGTGCAAAGAGTAACTGCTGGGAAAGATATGAGAAGGGCATTCTTGAATTACTTATTTTAGTCACTGCTTATTTTTGAAAGACAAGGGTCTCACTATTTCTCAGGCTGGTCTGGAACTCCTGAATTCCAATCATTCTCCTGCCTCGACCTTTCAAGTAGCATGGATTGCAGGCATATTCCATTGCACTTAGCTTCACACACCACTGTTAAAAGTAGTCATTGACACAACTACACTAGGCGAGATACAGTAATCTGTGTTAACACTTTTGATGTTTGCAACTTCTAACAAACAATTATTTTTACAACGGCTTTGTCTAAAATATAATCTTTATATGTACATGCAGGGATGGGAGTATAATTCCATAGTAGTGTTGGCCTAGTATGTATGAAGGCATAGGCTCAATCTCTAGCAACACATACATACAAACACACACACACTGAATACAACAAAAAATAAGTTCAGTATATCTATATATTTGGTTACAAACTAAGTGAGGAGAAAGGGAAGTAGAAAGATGAGTGTTTTTGTTAACTGAGCTTCTTACAATTTTGAGAATCTAGAAAGTGGAGGTAAGCCAACGACAGACCATAGCTAAACCTGCCCACTCCTGTTTTCATTAAATAAAATGTTATTGATATACTGATGTAGCTGTTTGTCTATACTTAAAAAGTTGAATAGTGCTTTGATGGCTATAGTAAAACCATTTTTTTTTTTTTAACCATTTGGTCCTTTACAGGAAAACTTCTGATACCCATAATGAAGACTACAAATGATACTTATAGAAAACCCAGAATTTAAAAGGTGCGTCTAGGGCCTGGAGAGATGGCTCAGGAGTTAAGAGCACCTCAAGGCCCACATGGTGGCTTACAAGTGGCTGTAACTCCAGTTGCAGAGGTTTGAAGGCCTTCTTCCTCGGGCACTGCACACACATGCATATAGGCAAAGCACTTATACAAAAAAAAAAAAAAAAGCTAAAAATAATAAAAAAGTACTTCTAAGAACAAATCTATGCTTAAAAGTAATTCTATGAATGTTAAGCAGTACCTTCAGAATGTGCCAATATTGAGTCATTCATTTAAAATGACTGATAAGGGGGCTGGAGAGATGCCTCAGTGATTAAAAGCACTGTCTGCTCTTCCAAAGGTCATGAGTTCAATTCCCGGCAACCACATGGCAGCTCACAATCATCTATATTGTGAACTGATTCCCTCTTCTGGCAGATGTAAATGGAGATAGAACACTCATATACATAAAATAAATTAAAGTAAAATGACTGATAAAAAAAGTTCAGTACATAAAGGTCTCAACATTAAAGTTTTGATGTAGTTCTACCATTTAGTTTTGTTGTTTAGCATTAATGCTGAAAAGCAAAAAGGACCTGACAACTTCTGAAGAGTCAATGTTAGGGGCAAGAGAAGCCTAAAGTGATACAAGGTATAAGAACAAACAAACAACTACCAAGCAAAGGGGAAAGACACTAAATGACCAAGTAAAAAAACAAAAATATCACAGAGAAACAACATTACTGACTTTATATAAGGAAATAAAATACCCAAGACAGTTCCATTGGTGTTAGTAAACTTAAGTATTTTCAACTCCATATTAAATTTCTAAATTAAGAGTCACAAGACTAAACATACTATATACCAGATGAGCTCTAAGTATCTGTAATACATCACTTTTGAGCTGAAACTGGATCTACCAAATTAAAAGATATCAAAAAGTGACAAGTGCCACTTATACAGTGCACATGTGTTAATGTGAATAACTTTTATAAATATAAATACTTTAAAATTGTGTGTGGAACAGGTTGGTATTTGCTGGCTGGTTATTTGGTTTTTGTTTTCAGTTTTCTAGTTTCTTTTTGTGGGCAAATAAAATTGTTTTCTTGCTAGCAAAAAGTCACTGGTTTTGACTAGGATTATATTCTCTTAAAATGCTGATGACTCACTAAAGGAAGAAGATAACACACCTAATTTATTTTTATATATACTATACTATATATATCATGATCTAATTTATTTTTTGCCAAAAAATGTAAATCTTGAAAATCACTAGTTTTAGAAATTTCCAACTCTAAACAACAGCTACTCTGGACTCACATGATGTCAGTGCATCTTGGGCTCATATTGTATCAGCAAAGAAAGGCCAACTCTGTCAGGAATGCTGACACATGCCTATAATGGCATCATTTGAGTCATGCTTGGTAACCCTGTCACAGGGCATCAAAAGGCCAAGTCAGGATTACAAAATAGAGGCCAACCTGGGACTACATACTGGGATCTATTTGGAAACAACAACAAAAGGCCTAAAATACAAACTTTTAAAAGCCCAAGCTGTAAACAAGTGACTTTTCTCTCTCTCTCTTTCTGTTATCTTAACAGCTCCTTACTTTTAGAGTTTGGAGACAGATCCCTATTGGCTTATTTAGTCATGTAAAAAGGTGAAAATAACACTGGGCTAAGCCAGTAAATTTTAAGATTTTTGTCTTAACACTCCTACAAATTTCATATTAAGCAAAGCCTCATCCCTAAATGTGTTTGATCTAATACTAGATAATTTAAGAGATTCCTAGGAGGCCAGGTATATAGAATACACTTTTATCCCACCACTCTGGAGGCAGAGGCAGGGAATCTCTATGAGTTTAAGGCTAGTCTGGCCTACACATTGAATTCTAAGTCAGCCAGGGCTACACACTGAGACACTGTTTCAGAAAAAGAAAGAAAGAAGGAAACAAAGAAAGAAAGAAGAAAAATTCCCTAACTAAATTTCTATGACTGTTACAAATATGGGGATAATAGTTTACTGAATAATTTGTTTTGTAGAAAAGTGCCAATGTTATTTATTCTCTAGGGCAACTAATTGATTCGTGGCACTAAGCAGTGACTCAGGAATTTCTAACACTCAGCAGCTGCATTCGGTGACATAGGCAGCAATGGGCCCCAGAGTTGCTCCCGTCAGAACATTCGCATCTCATTCTCCCACACTGCCACAGCACGTCTCCATTTCCACAAGGGCTGAGTTCACCCTACTATTCTAAGTTTAAAAATAAAGTCAGAGGATAAGGCTACAAGAAGTTTTAAAATGCACTTAACGTTCCAACTCCACTGAAATGCAGACCTGGATTTCAAAACAGACCTAAGATTAGCTATTTACCACACCCAATGCATTCTGTCAATTAAACTGTATCTGAGTTTAGCAATGTTCCCCAAATCTGTATTGGAAATAATAGAATCCATTCTATCGGTTTCCCTACTTCCTTAAAATAAACAAAGAAGTCCTGTTCTTATAAACATAATCAAAATAGCTTATATGACTTATAAGCTGACAACCTGATTCTTTCTTCGTGTTTTATAACAAATGTTTAAGGTGGTTCTACTTAAAATTTCAACTAAATATTCATGATAATGTGATGAAATGTTACATGAAAACAAAGCTGAGGCAAGCTAACTGTATCTTCTAAGAGAACACTGAAGGTAAGAGACCAACAGAGAGCTTTATTGGCAATCTATAATCTAAGTATCTTTTATATTAGTAAGACATTAAGATTTCCTTACTTCTTAGCTTGCTGATTAGATGCAACAAAGGCCTTATTTGTTTGAAAAAAGTATTCTTTTATTCAACATCAAAAACCTGCATTTATCATGAACGGCCTACCTTGCTTTCTAATTACCTTTTCTGTAATGGGGAAGAGAAGTAACACTGCACACACTGGTCTTGGAACCATGCTAAGAAGTTCAGGATCCATCCCGTACACATCGACAAACTGCCAGTTAGGATGCAGGCCTAATTGTTTGAGAAACTAGTAAAAGAAAAAGCAGTAAAATGTTAACTGGTAAGGGAAAGCCCAGAGTGTTAACAGAAAAATGATCAACAATGCCTTTACCATAAATCTTGTATATAAAAAGGACTGTGATCAAATAATACTAATGTTCAGTAAGAATGCAGAAAGCAACACCATCAAAGCATAGAATGCACCTATAAATACATATAATCTTTATTTGACAATATACCATAGCCCGAGAGGCGAAAAAACACAGCAAAGTAAAACCACAATGAATAGGGTAGGAAGAGAACAACTTATATCACATTAACAAACAGGTAAAACTCATAACACATGAAACACATCTGTTTTCAAAAAATATAATTTTGGTACTGAATATATTAGCCAGGACTTCACCAAATACAAGTCACCTTACGAACTTATTTCCAGCCTTTAATGCATCAATTAAGCAATGAATTATTATTTTGGTACATTAACAGTTTATCCTGATATCCAAAATAACATCTGGAGTTTAAAGACAAGATAGCTAAGCATTTTGTCAATAAGCAAAAAAGTAACACATGCAGGCAAAAACTTAATAGACAGACAGACAGACAGGCAGGCAGGTAAGACTCTCTGTTGGTTAAAGCACACAACATGTATTGCAGTCGCCTTTCTAGCAGGCTGCATGGCCTGCGACTACAGAAAGCAAGGCCCCTCACCATCCACCCTTCACCGTGTTACTACTCATCGTTTCAGGGGTTAGTAAAGCCCACAGGCATACCTGAAAATATTTCCCTTTCCCTTCTTCACTTCCTCCAAATTTACTGTTCTAGAATAGTCAATACTCAATTCTACCTAGAAACCAAAATGGGATTTTTTTTTTTTTTTAAGCTCAGTGTTACGGAAAGGAATTCTTACTTATCTTTTTCCTATTGCTACACCTGGGACTGCAGTCCTTTTTCCTAAGGACTACACCTGGCCAAACCACAGGCACTCAAGTTATATTGCTTGAACTAACATGAACACGCTTCAATAACCTTGTCATCTATATGTCCATGTTTCTTAAGCTTGTTTATGATGAACATTCAATGTATACTCCTTTTTTCTGCCAGTTAAAGAAGACTGGGACATTTAGCTCCTTATCTATAATCTGATGCCCATTAAATCAATTCTGCATATTACCATGATAAAACTGACATCTCTGAGGCAGGCAAGTGTAGAAAGCTAGCAAACCTGGGACTCTACTTGGTATGTGGGCTATTCACACAGCCCTCTTCTGATAATAAACTTGGCAGTCTGAGACCCTTACCTACATGTACTATGCACAAACCCCTTTATCTGCACAACACATCCTGCAACCTGTTAGCACACACAGCCAACTCCAAACAAAGAAAAGGCCAGCCCAGTCTGAACTGGTTTGGGGTACATGTGCAGTAAAGCAAACTGTGTACTTAAAGTGAACTTCCCTGGAGAATCCTCTATTTACTATATGGCCATGCATAATTGGGCATGGATATAGTTAAAATCAGATGTATTATGGGAAGAGATAAGTATAGTACAGAAATAATCATATAACTTAATATCTGTCAATCAAAATAGAGAACCACCCACGCTACAGCCCTAGTAGCCAAACTTTGCCTTCTTTTTAAGTTATAAAAGGAAATCACAAACAACGAGGGTCATTGAAGGGCTTCAATCATATGGCTCGCTGTCACCCTCAACAGTGCACCTGACCTATTCCAACATTTCACTTTAAATAAAAATATTCCTGCTGCGCTGCAAATCCCTGTGCACTTATTCAGTGATTTGAATAAGATGCCAAGAATCTGGAAATACCAGGCTGTACTCCAGCAAGTAACATTTCCAACTGTAAGCCCTGATCAGAGGACTTATATTTGTTAATTTTGATACTCATAAAACCATACTGTTATTATAAACTTACACAAAATGGCACATATGACCCAGTAATTCCATGTGTGTACAACAAAACAGAGACGCTGTAGCAAGAAAGCAACCTGGTCAAAACTGCTAAGAGAATTCAATATATTTTATGTCAGCAAAGCTTATGAAAATAAGCACCAAGAAGATCCAAGACCTAAAGGTGTAATGAGACTGAATAAAACCAAGGTAAGAACACAATGAACGATTAAAGTCATTAATTATAGTAAATAAATTATATAGTAAAAATTATATAAATTATGTAGTAAAAAAAATTATTAAACCTTAACAAGTGTCACAATTTACCTTAACTCTTTAATCCTATCACTAAATGTTATACCATAAAAATTCAATTAATATAAGTATATTCGTTATATTCTCTGGCTCCAGGTTTCCAGGAGTCACTCATTGGAAGCCATCACATAATACAAGGAATAAACAGTTAAAGAGTAGGTACAGCTGAGCCTGGTGGCAGACGCCATTAATCCCAGCACTTCAAAGGCAGAGGCAGGAGGATCTCTCTGAGTTCAAGGCCTAGCTGTTCTATGTAGTGAGTTCCAGGACAACAGGGATACACAGCAAGACCCTGTCTCAAAAACAACACAAAAAAGTAATCATGAAAATGCCCTCTTTCTATATAAAACAAACACCAATGCTGATTTAAAATACCTGAAAAAACTTAAAGATGTATTTTGTAATAGGTCAACTATAATTTTTTCAATAGTGTAAACCCGGCCTTTTAGTTTTACTTTCTTAATTTTTAAAAATGTGGTATTTTACTATGGTCAAGTTTAGTAGGTAAGTTAAAAAAAAATCTATAGATCTAGAACGCAGTTTTCTTAAATTTGCAAAACTAAGAGGAAACTCAAAATCACAGTCTTAAAATCTAAACTCAGGACAGTGGGGAGCTCAGGTGGTAAAGTGTGTGCTTCCCATGTAGTTTGAGAACTTTTCAATCCTCCAGAATCCATGTAAAAAGATGGGCTTGGTGACACAGCCTTATAATGCCGTATGGTCCAGTCACAAAATCGCTACCAGATAAAGCACATTCAAATCCAGGCACGGTGGCACCCAAGTATGATCCCAGCACTCAGGAGGCTGAGGCAGGAAGATCAACAGGGCAAGGCCAGCACTTTTAAACTAAAACTGCTTTCTCTGGTCTTTTCCCAAGCCTGGCCAGGGGGCAGTGGGGTTAGGGACTGAACCAGCAGGCAGGCTCCACCCAAGGGACAACACAGCTGTCTCTGGTGCAAGGATCTACTCAGGACAGCCTTTGCTCCTGCTAGTAACTGGTTCATTAATGACTGAAGCTATGACATAATTACATTTGTCCAGCAACTGCTTCATATCCCTGCCAGTGAGAGCACACTAGCAGTAACTGCTCTGCATGGAACCAGGGAAAGAAGTTAAATAAGAAATTCTATCTTAGTAACAAGCAAAATGATTTTAACAGACTGACTAAAACTAAGGCAAGATTAAATTTCCTTAAACATCAGAATAGGGAATCACTGAAAATATCTTATGTAGAAGTTAAAAAAGACAGTTACTTCACTGCAGGCTCAATATGGACTAAGTACAATTAGCAAAAGGAGCCACAGTGTGGGTTTCCTCGAGAATCAAAAGCCGTACCCGATAGCATCTCCAAGATGACACAGCAAGGAAGGCAGAAGGAGCACTAGCATCGGCCTGAGCAAAGGATAGGGGGCAATGCCTTTGGAAGACTGGAGGAAAGTGGTTCAGAGAACTATGAGGATGGAAAGTCACATTTCTTTTTCAGCTATATTAAGTTTGAGGTATTATAAGTATCCAGGTGGAACTATCAAAGCAGTTAAATACACACATTGGCACTATGGAGGAGAAGGAAGAGCTTAGGGGGATAGTGGGGTCATCTGCGTGATGACAAGTAGTATAAAAGCAACGTAACTAGAAGCATCATTAGGCAACTGTGCGCGGAAAAGAGTACTAATCTAGAAGGAGCAGTAGGAGCAGTATTAGCTCCTTTCTTGATGCTGTGATCAAACACATGACCACAAAACGTCTTAAAGAAAGAAGGGTTTACTTTTGGCTCACAGCCTGAGGCTGCGGTCCTTTGTGGCAGGGAAGACATGGCAGCAGGGGCATAAGGCAGCTGCTCACTCTGGGTACCGGCAGGAAGCAGAAGAATGCAGGCCATCTTTCTCTCTAAACTTTACAATATTTACTGTGCATGTACACGCATGCCACAGCAACCTCTGGAGGAGAGTCTGTGAAAGTTGGTGCTCTCCTTCTATCTTGTGGGTCCCGCGGAGCAGTCTCAGAGCTTCAGGCTTGATGGCAAGCACGTCTGCCTGCTGCACCACCTCACTCACCATTTTACGTTTTATTCAGGCCTAAACTGCAGGTCATGGAATGGTACTCACATTTTAGGTGGGTCTCCCCACCAAAATAAACCTAATCCTCAAAGTCCCTTAACACAGACAGACCCGCCAAGTTGACAATCAAGGTTAACCTCACAGAGGCAGTCCTGAGGATCTCCTCAGAAGGTAGAAGGGAGATGACCTATGAAGTAATTGGGAATTAGAAACACCAGAATTATCAGAAAAGTAAGAATTAAAAAAGCATTATATTTCAAGAAGGCTGCAGCAGGCTGCTCTTCCAATGCCACTAAAAGGCCAAGAGATATAATGACAGAAGAGTGGCCGTAGGTGTCGGGGAAGTGATCCCTAATAAACTGATAAAAGTTATTACTAGGAAATGGGGGAAGGGAAGCAAGTTAAGAATAAAGACGAAGGGGATGAGGGGTAGCAACAGTCTTGACAGATGATTGTTTGGTGAAAGTTTACAGAGCAGGGAAACACAAGTGTGGCAGAGGCTGTAGGAGACAGGGAATCAAGGTCTGTTGGTTTTTTTTTTGTTTGTTTGTTTGTTTGTTTCCAAAAGTAGAATCCTGTACAACAGAATTACTACATTATATTTGGTAATAATCTAGCAGATGGCCTCCAACTTTAAGGACTTAGATTAAATAGAACTATGTCAAGGTATGCATGTTTCCTTTAGGTATGAAACAAGAAAATACTACTTTCTCAATAACATCACAACTAAGATGTTTAAATAGGGAACCTCCCTAATAATTTTAGGGAGGTTCCCTATTTAAAAACTCATAATTTTTCTAAGTTACAACTCTATCCCCCCTCTCTCCATATGTGTGTGTGTATAGTAAGATGGCATATATATTATGTATATTATATAATTATATGTAACATGTATTTTATATAACACGAATATCTTATATATAATTGTATAATATATATCATATAATAATATATACAATATATACCATCATATATCATATAATAAATATATATAACATCTCATCAGTATATATTATATAATATATATATATTCGATCAATGGATGGATAAATGTAGATGGATGAATGGGTGGGTAGATGGATAGACGGAAGGACAGACAGACAGACAGACCATACTCAAATCACAAAAAAATTTGCATGGCAAGTCTAGTATACTCACAGGTGATATGGTTACCCAGATCATTAACTATATTTCTTTTAAAAACTATATTTCTTTTCATTTTTAATGTTCAGTTATTTGCAGCTTTCCATCAGCTATTTTTACCCATTTAAATATATATATGTAAATACAGTAGAGCTTAAATTCTTTTTTTTAAATGATTTTAAGTCCTATCTGTAGCATAATGAAACATCTTTAAAGCAGCTGACACTGTTTACCAGATGTGTGTATATATACATACATATGACACATATGACACACTGCTACTAGATGATGCCAGCAGTCAAAACTAACCTTCAGGCTGCAGAATATTCTTACATAACACCAGGCTTCATCACAGCGTAAAACACTACTTGCTCAAACTAAGAGTTAATAAGACCTGTAACTGCCAGATGGTGACACAGTGAAATCAAGATCAGGCTCTTCTTGTGATCCCATTAGGAGAAAGAAACAAGAAAAAACCAAGGGAGGACCAGGTGTGGGGCCTATAACCTACATGATGCAGGCTAAGGCATTCAAGGCCTGCTGGGATAATTCTCCAATCCCAAGTCAGTTAATCAAATGTCTACTCATTTTCTATCCTCAGTCTAGTACAGAACATGAACACTAAAGAAATATAAAAATTCTGGTTAAAGTTATTTCTATTTCTAACATGCTTACCCATTCTCTATATAAAAACACAGTATTTAATAACAACAACAAATGAAAACTGAGGCAGTCTCACTCTGTAGAGCAGGTTGTCTCAAACTCTTGATTCCCATGTGCCAGTCTCCCGGGTGCTAGAACCTAAAGTGTGTGCCACCATATACGGCTAGGGGAAAAAAAAGTTAACCAAGCCAGGGCACAGCACAGCAAAGACAGCACACAGTTGTCTCTGTCTAAGTCACTTCACAAAGGCCTCTTGTCACTATCCAGCCTACTTGGTTCTGACCTCAGCACCTGATCCAGTTTTTTATTGCACTTTTAACAATGGCTAATGGTTTATTTGCCTGGTTTTACTTTCTGCCTTCTCACTGCATTGAAAAACAAGAATAGTCTAATCACCAAAGTATAGCTAGTTCCTGTCCAGCAGTTGGTAATGCAAAAAGTGACCTCAAAATAGTATTTAATTAATGCATTTTATAATTTATCAAAGTTATCCAGGAATTAGGTTCCATATCAGCTGAACCACAGACTTTATAAATGTCCAGTTATATAAACTTTTTGTTTCCTTAAAACCATAAACAGTATCATTTTAAAGTTTATTTTAATCATTTGATAAGGCTAATGACACTGATTGGTTTTGAATGGTAAATCAGCTCTTCAATATAAGAAGTTGCTCTCGGTTATGTTCTTATGATTTTAAAACACATCTATTGTTGAAGGCTTTTATAGCCATATTCGCAAGAGACATTCGCAAGCCCACAGTTTTTCTTCTTATGGTTTACCTAGTTTGTACACCAGTGTAAATAAAACTGGCCATATCTCTGTTTCTTTATCTTTCTTTACTATTACTTCTCTCCATGATCATCTCAAGAAATGCTTTGTAAAAATCACCTGGGGAAACTGAACATTAATGCATAATAAAAATGTTTGCAAATTACGAAAAAGTAGAAAGTTCTTTAGCCCGAGAAAAAAACTCAACAAAATACCTATAACACTTTAGAATGAAAGTGTACATGCTTCCCCAACTAAGATCAGAAATAAGACACCTCAAATTCATATTTAAGATATTACAAAGTGTAGGGCTAGAGAGATGGCTCAGCGGTTAAGAGCATTGGCTGTTCTTCCAGAGGACCCAGGTTCAATTCCTAGGACCCACACGGCAGCTCACAACTGTCTGTAACTCCAGTTCCAGTGGATCTGACACCCCACACAGACATACATGCACATAAAATAATAGCTAAATCATTTTTAAAAGATATTACCAATTGCAATATGACAAGAAAAGAAAATAAAGGTATTTAGAATAGGAATAAGCATCTGACTGCAAAGATCACAACTGTCTGTATAGAAAATCCCCGAAGAACATTAAAAAAAGGGAGAGGCACAACACAAATATTTGAATAGGATGTGGGCATTTTTTAAATTATATTTCTATACACAGCAAAGAACTCAAAAATAAAAATTTAAAGCAGCACCCTAAATCATCAAATTTATAGGTATGTAACAAAATTTTCCAAGAGCTATGTGCTCAAACTATCAAACACTGATGAAAGAAATAAAAGGCCTAATTAAATGATGGGATATACCTCTTTCGGAGATTACAAGATCCAACGTAATAAAGACACATTCCTCAAAATACATCTATCCACTTGACACATTCACCACCAACTTTTTGTAGAAACTGACAAGGATTTTAAAATTTATCTGGGGGGGAAAGTAATTAGAAAAGCTTAGACCATTTTGAAAAGGTACAATGTAGGATTCATATTTGAGGACTTATAAAGCTACAATAATTAGGATGATAAAATGGAACAAAAGCTATTTACATAATTGGTAAGTTTCTATAGGTAAGTGTGTAAAAATAACTGGATTGAAGCTGAAATAAACACTTCTTTCTACGCACAGAAGATGCAAATTGTGATTTCTTCGAACTTAAGATTTTTACTCTCGACAACGAAAATAAAATGGGTTAGGAAAAGAGATGAGAACATTTCAAAGGGGTGAGAACAAAAGAAAGTTGTCCTCAGGAGAAGGTGCTGTGAACAGTAACATAACCGGTAAGGGTTTTAAACTTTGTACAGTTCACCTTACTAAAAAGATAAGGGTTGAGATAGTAACAAAAATACGTAACAAACCCAGATATGATGCAGGGAGTCAGGCCAGTGAGGAAAGGCTCTTGCCATCACCAAATATGAGGACCTACCCGAAGGAAGGCAAGAACTGAGTCTAGAAAGTTGTCATCTGATCTCCACAAGTACGTCACCCATCCACACAGAAAATAAAGGTAATAAATTTTTTTAAGAAACAAAGAATGTCACCTCTAACATAAAGCCTGTGTACAATTTGCTAAAAAGCTTTGAAAATCAAAAACCATTTACAAAAACAATAGCTGGGGGTGGGGAGCAGGTTTTAGACAGCGTCTCAGTCAGGGTTGGGCTGGAACTCAAAATCCTACCTTCAGCCTCCCGAATGCTGACATTCTGGGCATTTTTAAAGGTAGATGATAAATCTTTATCTTTTGGTGACAGGAGGGAAGAAGGAAAAAAAAGAAAGAAAACTATATAACAAACTAAGAGCACGGTCACTGGTGAACTAAATGTTGAAAGCAGAAAAAAAAATAGGTTAAGACAATACATACCGGTGCAAATTTTAAAAATACATAATATATAAGCCTTTTCTCCTAATTCGAGGGCTGAAAGGTATCCTCACTTGCCATCCCCAGTCCCAATCCTCACTGTTAAAAAAGAAACTTTAAGAGTATCAGGTGGCCAAGAATGACATGATAACCATTAAACCGGGCTTTGTGTGGTACAAAAGGCAAAGACAAGGTCCACTTTTTAAAGACAGGAAGAGAAAGGGGGCGTGGCAGGGAAGAGAAGCTACTTGATGGGGCAAGAGAAGATTACTGCAGGGTGTTTTCATTGTACGGGAGGTGGATGGAATTACCAAAACTGGGTGGGCAAGTTTACAAAGCCGGGAGTCAGGAGGTGTTGGCAAATTCAGTCACCTAGAAGGGACAGGGGCAGCGATCATGATGGAACCCACAGCAGCAAGGAGACAAACGAAGGGGGAAGAGGAGAGGGGACGGCAGGTGAGGGGCAACCAAACCTCAGACCCTGAGGCCCCGGGCAGCGCCGGTGACCCGGGGTCCGGCGGAGGGACAGAGGAAGCCGCACCGGCATCTCCCAGAGCCAGGTGGTGGCCCGAAAGGGGCGGAGCCGCCCGCAGCCGCAGACCGGGGTCCTCCCCGATGAGATCCCTGAATCCTTGGGGGGATGCAGAGGTTGAAGGCCAGCGGGGAGGGGAAGGCTGGCGGGGAAGGCAGAAAGGGCTCCGGGGTCCGGGGTGACGAGCACCGCACTCACCTGGTTGGTGACCTGAAACGAGACAGAAGAGGGTTTAGAGACGCGCGCGTGCGGGATGGCGCCGGCCTCCCGGCTCGCTCGGCCCCCGGCTGCGGCCCCCGGCCGCGCTCACCTCGGGATTGGCCTCCAGCGGCAGCCAGCGCTGACCCTCCATGACTGCTCCGCCGGCCGCGCTCTAGCTCTGACAGCCGCCGCTGCCGCCGCCGCCGCCGCCGCCGCTGCTTCCGCCCCCGCGCGCTCCGGCCCGCCCCGGCCAAACGCCGCCCCGCGGGGGGGACCAGCAGACGGAGGGCGCGACTCCAGAGGCTCTGAGCCTCGCCCCGCGGCGGGGAGGCCAAGAAGACAGTGTCCACACTGCAGACAGACGAACCGTGACAAATCGGAGCCACGTCCTATGTCACGAGGAAAACAGAGCCAGGATCCAACAGGGAGCCCCCCCCTCACACTTGGGCTCGCCCTAGTGAAGTGAGCACCCGAGTTCTACGCACGCGCCCCGCGCTGGCCTGGGCCGCGTGCTTGCAGGCTCCATCACCTTATTGCAATGCCAAGCAGAAGCTCTAGGGTGCGCGTCCCGGATTCCTTCTCTGTGAGGGTGGGCCGGCTTTGCTGGCCAAGAGAAGGCAGCCAAGCTGGAGGTTAACTCCTTGGTCCTCTGGCTTCTTTGTGAGGAGACTGAAATGATTTGTTGGCCTCATCTGTTATTGCACGGCCGGAGAAACAGGTCATAGGCAGATGACTGATGGAGGTGATAGGTAGATGCTCAGTTCTGCTTGAGAAACAATATGGAGCCACTACGCAGATGAATCAGACATTGTACTAAGCGACGGCACAAACTAAAGGACTCAAGCAGCATTTTGAATGTCCCTTCTTCATCACACTAAATTCAAGGATGCTAGATGTAATTAAAGTTTTAGTTTTCTTCACATTTTCGGGGTTCAACTCAATGGCAGGCGCATAGTAGATTCTCAAAAAGACTAATTTGAGGAATGATGCTGAAGACGCAATTGAGTGGTAATCTAGCATGCTTGAGGCCCTGGATCCAATCTCAATTATCACAAAGCATGATCATGTATGTAGAAATATTATCAGTTATGTAGGGAAATGCAGAAGAGAAAAGTTGACACAATTAAGGTACATTTATTAGACAGAGGCATATGCAAATTACAAAGATAGGATTACAAGGAGCAATCCTTTTGGTATGTAGGAATCAAGAGTCATGACTCCAGAATTTTGACCTGACATATTACTTACTATTCTGTATCCATGAGAGGGAATTCAGGGATAGACTAGTTAAGAAGTAGGGAAAATATGATTATACTGAGATTTCCTTTCTTGGGGAATTTCCAACTCTCCCACACATGTTCTGGCTATTATTTTTATAACTCAATGACTTTTCCAATCCTTTGACTCCTTCTATCTATCTGAAGGCTTGCTGCCATATCTGTCCGACATCGTGACTCGGTAAATCTGGCAATGTCTGGCTCATGATCGATCAGTAGTTGCAATTCTATGGTCTTTTATGGTGGCAGCTTTGGTTTCTTAAAAAAAAAAAAAACAGTGATGTTGACAATACATTTTTTTTTTTTTTTTT